GGATGAGCCTGTTTGGTGTTTGGGGCCATGGCTGTGAACTGGGAAGGCTCATGAGCCAACACAACACGAGCAGGACACAAGGAATGGAGCGGCTGGGCTGGAGCCAACATGGAATCAGGTCAAACGACCCCAAATCCAAGGATTTGGACCAAATCACCTGTTGTTTCTGGGGCTGCTGTGCTGCTGATCCTGCCCTGGGTGGGTTTGATCACCTTCAAGGCCATTCCAGCTTTGTTTTTTCCAGGGATAATAATTCAGCTTAACGAAAAGCATGGAATTATCATCAAGCCTCAGGAAAAGGCTTAACAAGGAAAAGCTCCACAGGAGCTCCCAGTTATGGATTTAACAAGCAACTGATTGTCCAAAATGCTCCAGAATTGAAGGAAAACTCTGTCCAGATCACAGTAGATCACAAAAATATGAAACAGGAAGAATTACATTTTACTGAGGGGGAAAGTGAGGCACAAAATGGTGGATGAGGAAGAGATTTGGCCACAATTATCCAACGTGGACATTGCTGCTCCCACATCCAGGTTTTCCTGCTGCTCTGTCTGTGCAGGTGGAAGTTTGAGGGACGAATTATAATTAAATTAGTGAAGGTAATTAGTAAATTCTTGCCTGTGAGGGTGGGGAGGGGGTGGAATGGATCTCCTAGAGAAGCTGTGGCTGCCCCAGGATCCCTGGAAGTGTCCAAGGCTGGGTTGGAGCAACCTGGGATAGTGGGAGGTGTCCCTGCCCATGGCAGGGGTGGGAATGGATGGATTTTAAGGTCCTTTCCAGCCCAAACCATTCTGTGATTCCATGATTAAACTCTCCTCTGATCCAAATATCCCAAAAAGGATCAAGCAGAGGACGAGGGAAGCAGAGAGCAGCCGAGTTTGTCCCAAACATCATTTTGGCCTCTGCTGTTTTCCCTTATTCCCTGAACAGATCCCTGCAGCTGGAAAAGACTGGGAGAAGGACAAAGGAGCAGCCCAGGGAGCAGCAGCATTCCCAACAATTCCCTGGCACTTCCTTCCCACCCAACAACCCCCAGCAGGAGGGGTTGGAACAACAACAACTCGCGGTCAAATGAAGGTCCTGGGTGCTGCTTCCTTTTGCTCCTCCAAGCCCCAAATAAGCCTGGAGAGAGGAATCTCCATGGATTTACCATTCATGCAGGCTTCATGGAGAGGGGAGGCCGTGTAGAGGGGAGGGTTCACCTTGGCACCGTGGGACAGCAGCACCTTGACGCACTCGATGCTCCCCGAGGCACAGGCGTCGCACAGGGGGGTGCTGCCGTCGATGTTCCTGGCATCCACCTGCAGGGAAATCACGGAATCCTGGGATTAGCCGGCTTGGGAAAGCGTTCAAGGGCACCAGCTGAAGCAGCACTGCCACTGGATCGTGTCCCCAGGTGCCACATCCACACCTGATGCCCATGGAACACAAGGGAACAACTTCTAACAATTTCTAACTTCTAACCAACTTCTAACCAACTTCTAACAACTTCTAACAACTTCTAACTCCTGGACCAGTCACCAAGAGCATGAAATTCCCCCAGATGTGAGGATCATGGAATCATTAAGGTTAGAAAAGGCCTCTGAGGTCGTCGAGACCGAGCATTAACCCGGCCCTGCAAAGCCCAACCCGTGTCCCCAAGTGCCACATCCACACCTTGTCTGAACACTTCCAGGGATGGGGATTCCACCACGGCCCTGGGCAGCCCCTTCCAAGGTCTGACCACCCTTTCCATGAGGAAATCTTCCCTGATATCCAACCTGAATTGTCCTGCAGGTCCCACAGCTTCTTCTGGAATCAGGGAATCACTGGGGTTGGATGATCTGAGATCATGGAGTCAAACAATCCCTAGCAGTGCCAAGGCCACCACTGACCCATGTCCCCAAGTGCCACATCCACAGGGATTTTAAACCCCTCAGGGATGGGGATTCTACCCTTGCCCTGGGCAGCCCCTTCCAAGGCCTGACACCCAAATAAATTCCCTGCCTGGGGTTATCTCAGAAGGGCAGTTCCAGGACCACCTTGTTCCCAAGGTCCTGTCACTGTAGACACATCCTGGACTGCCCTGCAGCACCCACAGCTTCTTCTGGAATCAGGGAATCATTGGGGTTGGAAAAGCCCTCTGAGATCAAGGAGTCCAACCAGCCCCAGCAGTGCCAAGGCCACCACTGACCATGTCCCCAAGTGCCACTTCCACAGGGATTTTAAACCTCTCCAAGGATGGGGACTCCACCACCTCCCTGGGCAGCCCCTTCCAAGGCCTGACCACCCTTTCCATGAGGAAATCTTCCCTGATATCCAACCTGAATTGTCCTGCAGGACCCACAACTTCTTCTGGAATCAGGGAATCATTTGGGTTGGAAAAGCCCTCTGAGATCATCGGGTCAAACAATCACCAGCAGTGCCAAGGCCACCACTGACCCATGTCCCCAAGTGCCACATCCACAGGGATTTTAAACCCCTCCAGGGATGGGGACTCCAGGTTGTTCCAATGCCTGACAACCCCTTCAATGAGGAAATTTTCCCTAATATCCAACCTGAGCCTCCCCTGGCACAGTCTGAGGTCGTTCCCTCTCCTCCTGTCCCTTGTTCCCTGGGAGCAGAGCCCGACGTCCGCCCCGGTTCCAACCTCCTGTCAGGGACTTGCAGAGCCAGAAGGTCCCCCCTGATCCCCCTTTTCTCCAGGCTGAGTCCCCCCAGCTCCCTCAGGAATTCTCCAGACCCTTCCCAGCTCCCTTCCCTTCCCTGCACACGCTCCAGCCCCTCCCTGTCTCTCCTGTGACCCAGGACCAGCTCCATCCCGATCACCTCCGGCCGAGTTTGGCCGCAGAGCCTCGTCCCAGCCAGGGTGGTTTTCCCAACATCCCAGGAACAAGCAGGTGTCAGAGACTGAAACAGTTCATGATTTATACATTCTAGGATTGCCAAGGGACTTTTGCAGACTTCTGCAGGACTTTTGCATTATAAAAACCCTTTTGCCAGACCCCTCACGGGCACTCAGTACAGACCTAGGAGATGTTGGGGGCTCCAGGCATGGCCCGGGACACCATCCATGGATATAGTAACTCATAACTTCTTGGAGTGTGGGGGCTTCCCTCCTTCACCCCCAACGGATCAAGGGGTGATTCCACTTCAACTGACAGACATGGAAGCTGCAAGTCCCATCGCTGGACCCCATGGGCAGTGACTACAGACATCTTTCCACTCTCAGCTTTTCTTTCCCTTACTCTCCCTTACCCTCATCCTGTCTTTCCTTTCTCTCCCTTATGCATAGAATCATAGAATGATAGAATCATGAAATCAGCTGGGTGGGAAGGGACCTCTGAGATCATCCAGCCCAACCCTTGATCCAACCCCATCGTGGTTCCCAGCCCATGGCACTGATGCCACATCCAGTCTGTCCTTAAACACCTCCAGGGATGGAGAATCCCCCACTTCCCTGGGCAGCCCATTCCAATGGTTGAGCACCCTCTCTGCA